CCCCAAAACCCCAAAACCCCAAAACCCCACATTTATAATAATTTATTGAATCATCAACCAAAAGTATGCAACTTATCAAAATTTTCCTTCAGGTCTCATCTGTTATAGTCCCATGAGTATCAGCATTTTGGAAATTAAAAAAAGACAGAGTGGAAAGAACCAATCAGAGAATTCAATGGGGGAAGAACCAGAACCACAGAAGGTAGATGACGAAGAGGAAAAGTATGAATTTGATATGGTAGATCAGGAATTGGATGATCTTGGTATACTGGAAAGCTAAATTTAGATAAATATCTTGTTCCAGGCACAGAGACTGTTTATTATATCCCAAATTATGTCACACAGAACGACCATGACATTATTTTAAAGGCTTTGAAGGAAAAACCTGGGTGGAAGGAGTTGCCAAGAAGAATTGTTAAGAAATTTGGAGGTGATGTTACATCTGAAGGGCTTGGTAAGCTAGAATTTTATGAAATATAGCCAACAAAGAAGAGCTTCCAGACTATCTTCAACCTCTTGCCCAAAGAATTTATGATGATTTCATCATTTCTTCAATGCCAAATCATATGCTAGTGAATGGATACAGTCCAACAGATGGAATAATGCCTCATACTGATGGTCCAGCATATCACCCAGAAGTCGCTTGTTTGAACCTTGGCGCGAATAGTTTACTTTCGTTCTGGAAGAATCAAGATGATGTCAGAGAATCAAAATATCTTGGTAATTTCATCCCTAACTCTCATAAACAGCCAGAGTATATTGTGAGCCAAGATCTCTCGTAATATTCACCGACAAATACTATTCCGACTACCTCCATGGCATAGAATATGTTCATTCTGACAAAATGAGTACTTTTCCTGTTAAAAATAGGTACCACTCCTGAAGACAGAGAATCCTACATTGACAACTGGAAGAGCCTAGATACTCCTATTGGCGAAGGAGTAATCGAGAAGGATAGACAAGATGTGAGGTACTCCATCACGGTTAGACATGTGTTTGAGAAAAGTTTAGAGTAAATATTCGGAAATTTTAGGGTTGAAGGGGTTTTGGGGTTTTGGGGTTTTGGGGTTTTGGGG